GTAAGCACATTGATATTAGTGAACCTAGTTAAACACCTAACAAAATGCTATTGGTTGGGGAATAAACTTAAGATAATTCCCCCACAATGCAGAGCTAAATGGTCTGCAAAATCTTGGAACCAGCACTCCCAAACAAACAGTAATGCATTACTGTTTTTATGTTTATGTCAACAGAATATCATCATTTGCTTGAAAATTCATAAGTGGTTCCCAATTAGCATGATACTTTTCAAAACTCAAATAAAAAGTCCAGATCATTCTGTAATTACGTAACAGTTACTGTCTGAGACTGCATACACTGTGTCAAGCCAACTATCTCCCCACAAGCAACAGCAGGCTCTCACATGACAAAATTTAATACCCCTTTTGGGCCAAGTATTTTTCCTTGTGTCCTGCTCCATTTTTCAGTACGATGGTATGTGGCCCTTCTCCCCTAAATCATAGCTTTGTAGAGAGGGATGAAGTCACCCTTCCCTCTAATGCTAAGGCCACTTGTTTATGGTTCCATGAATTGAAGGGAACCACTGAAGGATGCTGCCACATGCTGCAATGCCTCACAGCTCCCTTCATTCCAGCAGAGTGGTGATTTCCATGAATTCAGTGCACGTTTTATTTAATTAGTTCACAAGAGAACATCTTTGTTTCTTATCAGAAGGTTGTGATATTAAAAAAAAAAAAAACAGTTTGTGCCATGGGGATCAGGAAGAGACTCAGCAAGAAGATGAACCAGGCCTTTTCTGAGCCAGCTGGTGCATGGGCTAGGAAACCAGAAGAGCATCACCCCTGCCGCCATAAGCAACTGGCTAATTCAGAGGACTCAGGGTGAGGTGATAGCAACTGAGGTGAAAGGACAGATTGGTGTTTGTATTATTTGACTGACTTTGCATTCCTGGGGCTCATGGTCTGGGCATCTATTTGGAGGATGGCAGTGTGCGTTGTGAGAGATTTCCTTCTCTCTTGTTTTTGAAACACAATGTTTTGTTACATTTTACTGTTGTGGCTTATTCCTGTATCTGGTAACCCTAGCAACTACTTCAAAGATAATAACATGTCGTATAAGAACCATTGTTAAATTCCTATCATCTTGTTTTGAAAACCTGAAAAAAAAGACACATAATTTTGTGGATTTTGAGAAACACAGATAAATGTAAAAAGTGTTTCTTTTTGCTGATACATATCTCAATAAAAACTTTCCTTTATTCAATATAATCTAAAAAACACTGTGATACTGAGGTAACTGCACTCATTTTAACAGTGGAATCTTTTAGATGATTTTGTTGGCATTTGTCCCACCTGGATGTACAGATAGATAGACCTGACCGAGAACTTCAGGTAAGAAAAACATCCCAGGGAAGTTGGCACATGATTCATAATACAGCTCTCAGTGACTCCCTGAGATAAGGGAAAAAAGTCAAGATTTAGGAAGGAAGTCTTGGTATTGGGCAAGCCCCCAGCCCTCAGTAGAGAAGTGAAGGGAATGAACAGGAGGGAGTCTGCACAAAGGGAGTGGCTGGGGTAGGAGCCCTCGGGGGCTGGAACCCAGGTCCCATTATAAATGATGTCCTGTGTACAACATTCTCCCTGGCTCACAGTCATTTTTTACATTGGTGCTTTCTGGCTTTGCAGAATCAATAGCTCGTATGGCCTTTGGAATATTGAATAGATCTTGGCTTTAAGAAACTAGGGCTACACAACTGACAAAGTCCCTTAAACTATAATATACTAAACTGGAAAGTAATATCCCAATATCCTTCCCAGCCAAATACTCTTCTAGGGTCAATCTAGAAGTCAGTATTTCCAGGGAGGCCCTTGAGGTAAAATACAAGAACTTTGGAACCTCATTAGATCTTCCCAGAGTGGAAATACTGGTTAATGCCTCTGCTATCATGTTTTGCCTCTTTCTAGAATTCTCATTCTTTTCCAAGTTTTAGCTGATTTCCAGTCACCCTTTAAAACTCAGTTGAAACTAAGTATCAGCTCCTCTAGAAGCTTACCATGGCCACACAAATGCTCCAGTCTGATTTAGAAATCCTTAGATTCTCCCTCAAACCTCCTAAATGCCATTCAGATCACATTACACTGCCTAGGAGAAAGAGCCATATTTGTCTACAAGGACCACACTTTGTTCAACTTTTTAAAAGACATATCTGAATAAAGTTCTAAGAACTAGAAGGTACTATCTTAAAATGGGCATTTTTTGGTTGTTGTTACCTAATAAATTACACAGGGTTTCTAATACAGGACCAAGAGTCCTCAAAGAAGAGTCTTTAGTGATTAATGCAGGGGTTGCCCACAGCCTTATCGCAAGCCTTTGGCTTCTTCCTCAACTTTTTAACACTTTGCCATAGAGAAGGAGGTGCAGAGACAAGAACTATGAATGAGGGTAAGGGAAAATAGACCCCAAAGATCTATGCAGAATTGAAGTACTACCCATCTAAGTACACCACCAACGTCCATATATGTGACTATCAGAGAGTTTAGGATGTACATTCATTACTGGTTGATTCTAACCATGTCACAAAATCTCTGGAATTCAGGAGTTGGAAAGAATTTTTTAAGTTTTGTTTACCCTAATTCCCTCATTTTACAGATGCGGAAACTTGGTATTTATGTATGTCACACAACCTGTTCCAGATCACATATCAAACTACTGACAAACAGTTCAAGTCTCCTAATTTGTAACTTACCGGTTTGTATAAATTTCGCTTATCTCGTATTTTCATCACTTCTACATTTTTAGGACAGTCTGTAGGGACAAAGTTATGATCAAATCCCAGTCTTATCACTTACTAATTCTGTGACTTGAGGTTGAGTTATTGAGCTGAGCCAAGTCCCAGTGTCTTTCTTTGTAAAATAAGGATCACAATCTTTCTCTTAAAAGCGTACTGTGTGATAAAAGAGATGATACCTGTAGGTTGGGTGGTAAAACCCTATGCCTGGTAACTGCCTCCCCACTTACTAATCTTTCATAGTAAATACTGTAAAATTTTGAAAAACTGGCGCATAAAACTCAAGGCCATATTATAAAACTTGTTTTTTGAAAAACAAAACAAATGACAAAAAGAAAGCACTATGAGAAGTGGCATTTTTGAAACTTTTTTTCAAAAGTGGAAGTTACAACAGTCCTTCCCTCTGGTTTAAAGGCTGCTCGCCCCTCTCCGCGGAGGCGGCCGTCACGTACAGGCGCTACGCCGTGCAGGGCCGGCAGACAGAGCTGTACTGTATCACTCGTTTGCTTTTGCGCCTCTGCGCCTCTTACCAGGCACCATTAGGCTGCCAGGTCCAGCCACTGCCTCTGCCTTTACCCTTCCTCCTCATTTTCTCCCCACTGCTGCTTGCAGAGTATGTCCTGTCTGAGGACATTTCCCTTTATTATCACAAGGCAGAAACTGCTCCACAGGCATCTGGGCTCTGTCACCCGAAGGGACTCGAGTCCTGTCTGTTACCTGACAGCTGGTCTCCTGGTCAGAGCCCACTTCTTAGCCTGGCCAAAGTATGAGGCTGATGCAGCAGGCAGCTACTCTCACCAACCCCCTGACCTTCTCCGCAGCAACCATAAGAACTAGACCCAGAAGTCTTTCCTCTCGGGACAAAACGTGATTGTTCAGTCTTTCCGAAGGCGGCTCCTTGGCGCCCGCGCGCGCAGTACCCACGCGGTTGGAGTCTAAGGTAGAGAATGCGCCTCTGGAGGACGCACCGAGCGGGGGCAGCCTGGAGCACCCGGAGCCCGGCCCGCGGCGGCGCTGTGGCTGGGGAGATCCGTGGGCTCCAACCCTGGGCCCAGCCTTTCCTCCTGTTCCCGGGACAACCAGGGGCCACCTTTGCAGCCTCTGAGGCAGGCGCAGGATGCCGGCCGTGCGGAGTCAGCGCGGAGCCCTGCAGCCAGCCCGCACCCGCCGAGGTTTTTGCTCCATACCGCGGCGCGTCCGCAGTAAAGACCTAGACAAGCACTCTACCCCGAGCTCCAGGGCTATGAAGGAAACCCTGAGAGTTCAAAGGGAGGACATTCAAAGTCTCCCTGAGGAGTCTCCCCAAGCACCTTGTGAGGGATGGCGGAATGAGGGGCCACGGCCACCCAATCCGCACACCACCCGTAGCCGCTCGGGTTATCCCTATCTGTACCCGGCGCGCACACACCGCAGCCCCACCGCCCGATTCGCCAGCACCAGCCCGGCTGGCGAGGGCGTGTGCGCGCCGGCTCCCCGGTCCCTCCGCGGTCCCCTCGCTCACCAGATAGCCATCCGGCTTTTGGGGTAGTCCAGCCGCTCCAGGCAGCCGAGGAAGTGAGGCAGCGTGTGCGCAGCGTTGCGGGCGAGTACGGCCACTAGCACCGTGGGTTTCTGCAGCGGGGACTCCGGGAAAACCACCTCCTCTTGCCTTGAGTCCGGCACAGCGGCCAAGCGCGCCGGGCAGCAGCTGCGGAGCAGGGCCGAGGACAGGAGCAGCAGCGGCCAGGCGAGGGTGGCGGCGGGGCGCGCAGCCATGTTCCGGCTGGGGCGCGCGACGGGTTTTGCAGCCAGCGCGGAGCCCGGCTGCCCGGGGGGCCCGAGGCGGGCGGGGAGGGCTGGGGTGGCTCCGGGAGAGCGAGGAGGCTGCCAAGGGATGCGGTTGGCCGGGCTGACCGCGCGGGCGCGCTGGCACCGAGACGGGCGGCTGCCGGGACCCTCACGCCACCCCTCACAGCCTAGGGCCTGACGCCGCGCGCACCGCGTACCTGCCGCCGCCCGTGCTCCTAGCGGGGCTCGGGTTCGCAGACAGAGTGGCCTTGGAGCTGTTTGTTTGGAGACCTGCGGAAAGTTCCTCTAGCCCAGGCTGAGCTTGTACAGCTGAGGTCTGTGGCTTTCTCCCAGAGCTTCGAGGTGTGGCCCTGTCTGCCAATGCGCGCGCGTGTGTGTGCGTGTGTGTACACATAACAGTACAACCCCAAGAAAAATTATTCCGCTTTTGCAAACCGCAGTCTGAGGTCCTTCACAGTGATGCAATAAGACCAGTTTCTCATAATGCACCTATTGACAAATAAGTAGACTTCTAAAATGGAAAGTCATTGCAGCTATTTATGACTACAATAAACAATTTTAAAAACTACCATAAAGGCAGAATGCTTCCATTTCCTTAGACTCTCAACATTTTAAAATTTATTTATTTTTGGTACCTGGGATCAAACTCAAGACCTCGTGTTTGTCAGGCAGGCGCTTATACTGCTGAGCTAAATCCTCAGCCCACACCCTCAACTTTTAATATTCATTCCTAAGTAAACATTCAATAACACCAAATTTGAAGATTTGGACAACTTTAAAGTCAGATCAGACCCCTGAGAATAAGCAAACTACTTAAGGATACTGCGCTGAAGCCGGCTCCAAGTAAGGATGATTGTTATTGTGGTGATTCATGTAAGATGGTTTTCTTTTTCCTTAATGACCCAAATTAACAGAGAGTAACAAAGAAATGGAAAAGTCAGACACTTTGGATTGTAGAGGAGAAGAAACAGAAGAAAAGGGTGCAGGAAGAACACCATTAGCAGGTAAAATGAAATCACCAGGACACTTTAGTGGATAAAGAGGGTGTAATGAAGCGTGAAGCCCCTTCCTTGTGACACTGTGTGGGCTTTGATCGCTAAGTGTTCGGGGTGATTTGGTGCCACTGCACACACCTCCCTGTCCACCAGACCCAATCCAGCTTCACAAGTTCTCTGAAACCCTTGGAAGCCTTACGTCTCTCCTTTGACCCTCTCTTTCCCTCAGAAGGGTTCCCATTGTACCCTTGTACCCCTGTCTGTAACCAGCTTCATACAGTCCACTGCTTAGTTGTAGATGCCTTTGATCCCCTCAACTCTCCTCGCCAGTCAGGATCTTTCTCCATCATTATACCCCACTGAATCTTCAGCTGGTCCTTTTCTATCTATTCTTTTCAATTGAAAACACGGGTTACTCTCTTATTCCTGGAAAAGTTTCTTTAAAAAATTCTGTGCCATAAAAAAAAAAAAAAAAATTCTGTGTCTTTCTAGCGATCATCTCTCTTGGCCAACCTGCTTAAGAGGCTACACTTCCTTCCTTTCTCCACTTACCTGCCATCTCTCCCACCACTGTGCAGTGTGGCTTCTGCTCTGTCCTCTGAGACTGTTCTGGTAACACCACAGATGATTTTAGTACCGGTGAATTCAGTGGACTCTCTTTAGTTCTTGTCTCCTCTGACCTCTGTTACATAACTTCTCCTTCCTTGATTTTCTTTGTTTCTACTAGTTCTGCAAGCCCCTTCCCTGAATAGTCCTTTACCATCTGCTACTCTTCTGATTTTTATGGCCTCCTAGGATAATTTTATCCTGCAAATCTGTTTCCTGTCCCATCCTGTTCTCCATATTGATACTTTTACATCTCACAACCAGAGATATTTCTTTCCTCTCTACCTACTTGGAGGAATCATACCTGCTTTCAAGGGGCTCACAGCCTTGCCAAGGAGGCTGAGTTAAGCATTTGTTAGAGGATCCATGCCTAAAGTGTGATCAGCTACAGCAGAGAAAACAGAAAGGCGTGGCCACTTCTACTGAGGTAGTGGTGATGAAGGGACTTTTAGATGGGGGTCACAGAAATAAACCCTATGTTGTTCTGTCTTCTTTTTTGTTTTTTCCTTCCTTGGCCTGTGTCCTATCCAACTTTCAAGACTAAGATCTCCATGCTTCAGGAATAGGAAAGAAATGAAGCTTCAAAATTCATCATTTCACTGGCGATGTAGCTCAGTGGCACAGCGTCTGCCTAGCAAGCACAAGGTCCTGAGTTTGATTCCCAGTACCAAAAAAGGAAAATAAAAAGTCATCATTTCTTTACTGCAAACAGACAGAGTTAGAGCTAAGAAACCATATTTTTATCTGATTTTATCTGATTTATCTGATATCTTAAGTCAACAGCTGATTGAGCTCATTTTTTCTTTTCAAGGAATGAAGAAGCACCTAAAAGTGGACTCTGTGTGGGCTTTAATGCCACTCTAATGGAGCTGAATCTACAAAGTGGTGGACCAGAACCCACATGAAACCAGATCAGACATTCTGCCATGAGTGGGAAGCTAATTGGGCAGAGGTGGGCTATCTTGTGAACTAAGACAGCCACTGTTTGGGTTGGGAAAAGGATTTTTAAGGGTTGCTGTTGTTGCTGTGCGTGTGTTGGGGGGTGCTCTTTGGGTGAGCCAGGTGCTAGCAGCAGATTGTGACAGAGTCCATTTTCGGGTACATTCCTAGGCAGAGTTGACTTTTGGGGTTGGAACAGTTCTAGGAAGTTTCTTTTCTTGCAAACCAGCCATGAACAGGCTCCAGGGACAGGCTGACCCTTCACAAAGTTCTGGAAAAAAGAATCAGTGAAAGGTTTCCCACCCACATCACTTGAAAATGCCTGCTTAAAAACCTCTAATCACTGTAGAACACTAATCTTGTCACTGAGCAGCTTGAGTCACAGCATGGTTTATAGCAATTAGAAATCACTTTAATTTTTGGAGCAGGAGTGGGAATGGGGCAAGGGTAGAAAGGAAGTTGGGTCCCCATCTTACAGACTTGCCCCATAAATTCTGTAGAAATCAGTGATGCAGAGTTGGAATTTCCTCCCTCATAGAATCAAGGTTACAATACAGTTATGTCAGGGACCTGGCCAAGGTCCCCAACTGCCTTTTTGAGAGATACAGAGAAGAAAGAAATAAGACAGACAAATTTAGTGATGCATAAAGGAGAGCTCGGAAGTCAGTGTTTCAGGATGGGCAAAGACAATGACTCTCCAACCTTGCCACTATTTATTGAGCATATACATACATTTTTAGAGGGGATTATGTACTTCTCCTAGAACACGGAGGTGATTGTGTGGATTAGTAAAAAGAACAAAGCATTCTTGCAAGGATGGGACAAGGGCCAATAAGGAAAATGTAGTTTCCCCAGGCAAAACTTTTACTACTGCTACTATATTGCTTTGAAAATTCCTGTTGTCCTCAGCATGTTTTACCTTGCCCTGTGCATACCACAGCGTCACTAGCTGTAGGCCTTCAGCTGTGATCAGGATAAAGTGGGAAGTTTCCGCATTCTGGCTTACAAGGCAGTACAAGGATGGCCTTTGACATCCGCTGGACTCAATTTATAATTTGTGGTCCCCAGCACAGTAAATCTGTAAAGACAACTTTACAAACAAAAGCTAGTTATATTTTTAAAATGTGTATTGCAAATGATGCTCTTTCTGTGAAAAATTGGTTGAGTGGAAAAATCAGGGCTGTATACACATAGTCTTTGTCTCCACTGCCACTAGACTGTCCCAAACGTTCCTACATGAATTTGGAAATAAGCACCTTCTCTCATATCCTCTCCCCAAGCTATTTCAGCACAGGAGACTTGCTTTAGTGACAACAAAACCCCTTTTACTCTCCCTCTCTGCACAGCTGTGGCAGGAGCAGGGCCTCTATGGGGATCTTCTTGCAGGAAAATGTCTTAAGGTTTCTGTGATTCCAGAATAAAAAAAAAATGCAGAAAAAAATGTCTTTGCAGCAGCTGTGACATTGAGAAAAAGCAATGGATGCTTGGAGCTGAATTAATTTCCATTTCATTTGTCAGTTCTTTTCTGTGTGACCTGGGAGACTGGACCTCTCTGAATATGAATTTCTTCCTTTAAAAAAAAAGAGTAAAAGTTTATCTCATGTTGTTCTTTAAATAAACTTTTCTGAAATTACTAATTGTCAATCCTTTGGGTGTTGAATATTTGAATCCTTTCCTGGGAAAAAGTAAGAGGCCTATTAGGCCCCATGACTGGCTGAATTGTCTGGATTGTTTTCTTCTGTACTAAAATTTCATTCCTTCACTACCCAGGTTGATTTACTCCCTTGCTTTATCCAATCTAAAATACTATGATGCAAAATTTAGCTAAATTCATAAGCATGCTAATTTTGATGTAAAAATGCTTGAGAAGGGACTCTTAGGCAGTATTTTTTCACTCTTACCTTTGTGAGTTGATTAAATCATATTTCCTAATCTTTGCACTTCCATTGAGATGGATTATCAGAGTAAGAAAACTGACTGAAGAAAGAATATCAGAGGGAGGAGATGTAACTGAGTTGCCAAGAGCTAAAGTCGAACTGTCTGACTTTCAAAGTGTTGTCTATAAAAATGAGTCCAAGTAAGTGGAACATAGGAGAAAGGCATCAAACAGTGTGGCATGTTTAAAAAATTGCAAGGAGTAGAAAGCAGAGAACAAATGGGGAGACAATGCTGGGGAAATATGTGATCTTCCTTCTCTCCTCTTGTCTCTCTCCCTCTCTTTCCTTCCTTCCTAAAGATCATGCTAAGCAAACACTTTATCCCAGGCCTATATAATTATGTCTTAAAAATGAGCAAAGCATGTGGGCATGGTGATTCACACCTGTAATCCAGCACTCTGGGAGGCTGAGGTAGGAGGATCACAAATTTGAACCTAGCCTCAATAACTTAGTGGCTTACTGAGACTCTGATATATTTTATATCTAGCTATTCCCCTAAAGCCTCCTCTGATCATACGCAGACCTTTGGTGGGCAGTTGGATTACGGAAGTTTATACCTGACTTATTTGTAGAAGGTGAGGCTTGGTTGGGACAAGTGGATCACCATGGGTGTGATCCAGAAGGTTATGTATCCCTTGCACATCTCCTTTCCTGGCTTCTCTCTTGACTCTTTGCTTTCTGTCTGTTATGCCCTGAGCAGTTCTTGGCCATGTCCCTCTTTCATGCTGTCCTTCTGTAGAGCCAGCTGACCATGCAAAGACTGAGAAACATGAAGCCAAAATAATCCTCTTCTCCTTTAAATTGCTGGGGTCCAGTATTATACCCGAGCCACAAGAAAGTGACAAGGACACTAAGTCAAGAGGAAAAAATAAAAAGAACTGGGGATGTAGCTCATTGTGAAGGCCAACAGCTGAATGCTTGGTGGTGATGCTGGTGGTGGTGGGAAAGCAAAGTACTTGGACTGATGTTTCTCCAAAGAAGATATACAAAAAACTGCAAGCACAAGAAACATTTCTCAGTATCACTAATCGTTAGGGAAACGTAAACTAAAACTACAGTATGATAATACTTCATATGCATTAGGATGGCTCCTATAAAAAGCAGGAAATATTAAGTGTTAAGGATGTAGAAAAACTGGGAACCTTGTATACTGGTGGCAACAATGTTAAAAAGCACAGCTGCAGAGGTACAGGGGGAGAAACTCCCACCTGCTAGGTGTCCTCTAAAATCACAGAATGAATTTTAGGGACAATGGAGAGTAAGAGTAGAATGTATTTACTGAGAGAAAGAAAGCTTCTGTCTGAGAGACAGACAGAAGGGGTCTGGAATGGGTTGCCGAGGACCCCACCTTCTCCAGGGATTTTTATAGAGCAAAACCATGAGGTGGGGTAGGTCCAAGGTGGGGAAAAATGGGAACTCACAAGACAGGCGAGCATGAGGTGGGACAGAATTATGGTCAACCAGTAAGATTACCAGTGTGATTGCTCAGGTAAAATTGATTACATTGGCATCAGATGCAGAGGGGAATCACATAGCAAGCAGGTATGAATACAAAACAGGGCCTCTGACTCAAGGGGGTTGGCTTAGTGATTCTTGGCTTCCCCAAGGTGATAGAGACCTATTTAGACTATCAAGCCTTAGGATGTGGGTACATTTGTTTGATCTTTTGTCTTGAGGTGTCTGTCTCCTTCAAGGCTGCAAGATATCTGGTCTTTTACACTGGCTCCTTCCAGAGCCTAGCCCCACTAACTGCCTATAAGATTTATAATTAACTCAATTGCCTATAACAATAGTTTCTCTAAAAATTAAAAAAATTATCATATGATACAATAGTTCTTCTAAAAATATAATTGAAAGAACTGAAAGCAAAGTCTCAAAGAGCTATTCATGTACCACATTCCTAGCAGCATTATGTACAACACTGAAAAAGTAGAAATAACCCAAATGTCCACTAACTGATGAGTAGATAAGGAAATCGTGGAATATGCTCACTGTGGAACCTATAAAAGAAGAAATTCTAACATACACTATACCATGTCAGTCTTGAGGTTCTTATGCTGAGTGAAATAAGCCAGGTTTTATGGTTTGGATCTGAAATGTCCCCCTAAAGTCTCAAATGTTCAAAAGTTGAGTTTTTGGAAGGTGATTGGATTATGAGGGTGCTGTATCATTGGCTGACTGGTTCACAGATGAATCCATAGCTAAATGTGCTGCTAAGAGGTGGGCTTGGTGCGAAGAGGCAGTTCACTCGCTGGGGTGTGACCTGGAAGGTGTCTCTCCCTCCCCGCACCTCCCTTCCATCTCTCCCTACTTCCTGGCTACATGATGTGGTAGCTTTCTTCTGCAGCAGGCCTTCCTTTCACCATATTGTTCCAGCCTGTCAACCACAAGCTGAAACTCCTGAAACTGTAAACCAAAATAAATCTTTCCTCTTTTAAATTGTGAGTGTTAGATATTGTGTCTCAGCAATGAGAAAAGTGACTAAGATACCAATCATAAAAAGACAATTGCTGTATGACTTCACTTACATGGGGCACTTAGAGGGTAGTGTCAATCTGAGAAATTAGTGTGGTAGTTGCCAGAGAGTGGGGTAAGATAAATGGGGTAGTAGCATTTAATGTGTATAGAACTTAGTTTTGCAAGATGAAAAGAGTTTTAGAGATAGATATTGGCAATAGTTGTATAACACTGTGAATATATTTAGTACCCTTGAACTATATATTAAAATATTTAAGGGGGTAAATTTTCTTATACATTTTTGTCACAATAAGAAATACAAAAAAATCGGGTTCCGGGAGAACATGGTGGACAGATAACAGCAGCTATGGAGGCTCTCTGAAAGACTTGGCTCAGAAGTCAGGAAGGGTGCGGAGTAAGGAGACATAAGCCGGTGGAGATATGCTCTGCTGACTCAGGAAGAACTGGGCTGAGAGAAACCAACTCGGAATGCAGTCCTGGTGCTAGAACAGGAACAGAAAAGCCTCAGTGTGGAGGCTGGAGCCCGCGCCATTGGAAGCCGCGATTTGGGTATCCCGCTGCGCAGCGGCTGGCTGCCTCTACAGTGGCTCGGCAAGGAGAGAGACGCGCGGAAGCTCTGAGAACGGGAATCTGCGAACAGAGTCGAAAACAGGACGGGCAGGGAGGCGTGCACTGACTTGTGGTGAGGTGAGTGAGAGAAACTGACACTCTACCACAGTTTGACTCTAGTGGAGGACATTCTGGGCCCGGGCAGTCCTGCAGGAGCAGGGCGCGGTGGCGACTTCAGCCACACATCCCCCTCTCAGGCGGGATTGGTGAGGGGTGCCTAGCCTACCTGACACTGCTGGCAGACCCAGTAGGCTAGCCCAACCCAGATCCCAGAGCCTGACGGTGGCCTGGAGGGGCAGGCCCCTGCGTAGGCTGCCTGGTCTGGAACTTCCTGGTGTGCTGCGGTGGGCGGGAACACCTAACCGGCGCAATTCGATCAGGCTGTGGCTGACAGGGAGAGAAGCTGGGCCTCCTATATAAGCTTGCATATATAAGAAACAGAGAATATGGGAAGAGGCAGCAACAAGAAAGGCTCCTCGGCCCCCAATTCTGAGAAACAGGTAATAGCGGACACCGCACCAATAGACATAAAGCGCCATCTAGAGAGCCTCATAGATCAGTTCAGGAATGAAGTTATCAATGACCTGAAGCTAGAAGTATGCAGAATAGTTAGAGAAATGCTAAGCACCACCCAAGAAAAAACAGATGGTGGAATGGAAGAACAGAAAAAGAGGGGAGAATTGTTTGATGGAGAAAATAGAGAAAGCATAGAATACGTGAAGCAGGTTCAAAGGGACTACCAAGAAACTAAAAAGTCTTATCGAAAACTGGCATAACAGCTTGAAAGAAACTAAGGACAGACTATCTGAACTGGAGGGCAGATTTGTAATATGGGAGAATGAAATGAAAAACTTCTTAAAAATAACAAAGAAACAAACAGCAATAATACAAAGACAAGAAGATGATAAGAGGATCCATCACTTAAGAATTAAGAACATAAAAGAAGAAGTAGGGACACAAACAAATGAACTAAAAAAAGCTACTCACAGAAATAATACAGGAGAATTTTCCTAATTTAGCAAAAGGTAAAGATACTCAGATGTATGAGGCATACAGGACCCCAGCTACCTACAACCCAAACAGAGCAACACCCAGGCATATAATAATAAAAATTCCAGAAATTCAATACAAGAACAGAATATTAAAAGCTGTCAGAGACAAGAAACAGACCACTTACAAGGGAACACCCATCAGAATTACAGCAGATTTCTCTGCACAAACCATCAAATCACGAAGAGCGTGGGGGGAAATAATTCAAGCTTTGAAAGATAATAATCTCCAGCCAAGATTGAGATATCCTGCACAACTGTCCCTGGAAATTGATGGAAAAACAAGGTGCTTCCAGGATAAAGAGGAACTGGGGGAATTTGCAACCACCAATTCAACTCTACAGAGAGTATTGCAGGATATTCTAAAAAAAGAAAAATACAAAGAATCCAGAAATAGTGGCGGGGAGGCCACAACGAATGGAGCAGAGAACAAAATGAAGAAGACAAACTGACAGCTACTGACAGAAGAAGAGCTCAACAGAAATGAGGCAGAGAAGATTGGATGATAGGAACAGCTATTTTGGAGAAAATGACATCTTAATAGGTAAAACTGATTTAGTATCATCTTGTTTTGAAGTCTCATCAAGCTTTTGTTCTTCTGTCTCCATTGGTCTAAATAGGTTGTATCTTATTGGATTTTATTATGTACGATAGTATAAGCAAAAACCTTTTAAAGACAAGGAGATTATACAGAAACCATTGTTCATTTTCTGTTAGTCGATTCTAAATACCCTGTAATGCTGTCATTCTCTTAAATGGTTTTACATTGTTTTGATATATTTAATGCTACAGTACACGAAGTTGTACTCAAGGATTTCAAGGAAAGAGACAATATGGTAACTACTTTTATGTCAGGATTATCTGGTGGTGAAACACTATTCTGCTTAAATGGTTATGTTTTGATCTGCACTGTTTCGCTGTTATGCCCTCTTTTATCTGAATCTCCACTCCATTATTTACTTTTTTATTTTTATCCTTTTAATTAAGGGGAAAATAAATAAAAATAGCAGGATATATTATAGTAACCCACTTTGACTTTCCATTATCTTGATTTAAAGCCGTGTATTACTCACCATCTTGTTTTTGACTGATGTTCCCCTATTCTGTTTTGCTGGATAGTATCAGGTTCGAAAGTTTAGGCAACAGCTGTGAAGATAATGAGATTCATTATGACGCCCATTCTCGTTGACTTTTATCTACTTTTGAAGACCTACAATGTCTCCAATGTTTTGGTTTTGTCGGTTTTGTTCTTTACTGTTTTGTTCAATTTTATTATAACTAATGATATAGGTAATTCTATTAGAGATAGCAGGAGGCATTATGGTAACCATTGTTGATCACCTTGTATTATGTTTTTACATTATCTATTATGTCCACCCTTTTGATTTGACCGTCTCAGTTCTGTTATGTCACATTTGGTTTTACTCTCTTCCAAAAAAGTAATAAGAACCGTGGGAGCAATGAAACCCAAAATGTGTAATAGTCATTGTACAAAAGAGAGGAAAAGAAAGTGCTCTAAACTATATAACTGCATGTATATTTAAGTGTATAAGATAGAAAATGATATCACTGAGTTTTATTGGATCATTGAACAGAACTATTTGCAGTATCATTGTTGGAATGTCTACTTTACAAGCTTTAATTTTGTGACTTGAACAATTATTTCTAAGATGACAATATGTAATCCATTAACTAGTGATTTCCTACTGTTTATTTTTTTTCTGTAAATCTGTATAACTTGTACCCTTTCTCTGCTTTTTTTTCTCCTTAAATAAAATTAAAAATAAATAAATAAATAAATAAAATCTAAAAAAAAATACAAAAAAATCAATCAATGCAAATTACTATATTGCAGACTTCAGAAAACCATGTAATCATCTCAAGAGACCCAGAAAGAGCATTTGACAAATCTCACAACTGCATAGATATTCTCATTTATGCTGAACTAGAAAGGAACTTTCCCAACCTGATAAGTGCAAAATAATCTACAGCTAACATCATACTTAGTGATAAAAGACTGAAAGTATTCCCTCAATATCAGAGACAAGAAAGACAAGAATGACATATTTGACATAATTTAGTACTTCTAGTCCATGTTGTACTGATAAAGACAGGAAGAAAGGCAGGTAGGAAGGGAGGAGAGAAGAATGAACGAAGCAGATGGCAAGATCTAAAACTAGGTTAGTCAGGAGTAAGAGACACTTTAAAATTAATATGAAGGGTGGATTAGTCTGCCTAGGCCAAAGGGCTGAAAATTCAATGATCATTAACATTTATTGTAATAGAGGGTAACAATGTTGAAGATTGTTAAAAAGAAAGAGTGAAAGAAAACCAGCCCATAATTCATTATCCTACCACATCATTACTAACATTTTGTAGTATTTTTTGAAAATGTATTTAAAAATTTTTTTCTATTATCTGTCTTTTATTTTATTTATAATTTTAATTTCTCATACAAGAGAAACTATGTAATCTTTAAGCTTTTGTGTCTGATTTATTTCACTGAAGAGTATAGTCTTAAAATGCATCCATTTTCCTACAAATGACTCAAGTTTTTCCTTCTTTATAGTCATATTTCCAAGTAATTTTCCTATGGCATTTTCACTTTGCATATTTTCTGTATGGATGATACTCAGTTCTCTTCAGTGAGGCTCCATACAGTACTTCTGTTGAAAGCAGATTTTGAATAAATCCTATTGAGAGATGAGACATTTTGGGGGCTATGAGTTGCTTTTGCTGTCTTTCATATTTACAAAGCCAATTTTTATTTCTTGTGGAGAAGGAGGAGGAGGAGGAGGAGGAGGAGGAGCATGTACACATGAATGTGTACATGCAACTCTTTATTTATAGCAATGCCAATTTTTGTTGTAGTCCAGAAAAATTTTAACATCAAACATTTAATACATGTGGAATATTTATTAGGAATCAACACATGTGTAATCTATAAGCCATTAGCTAAAATACTATTAATAAAATCAATATCCATGTACCTAGCACCTGCCTTGAAAAACAGAGCATGACCATTAATTGGAGGCTTTCTGTGCCTCTTTTTCTCATGATGTTTTGCTCTATTGCCCAGAGATTCAGCTTGGCTGAATTTTGTTTTAATCTGTTTTTAAATTTTGTTTATAACTTTACTTCCTGTGTTGGTTGATTTTTAACTTGGCTTGGCCAAAATGTTCTATTGTTTGATCGAATCAACATAAACATTACTGTGAGGATTTTTTCAGATGTGATTAATATTTAAGTCAGTAGATGTTAGAAAGTAAGTCCCTCTATTATATGGGTGGGGCTTGCCCAGATTATTGAAGGTTTACAAGCAAAGAATAGGATCCTCAGAGAAGGAAGGAATTATGCGTTTTGGGCCAACGGCAGCAGCGCTAACTCTTTCCTGGGTCTCCTGCCTGAAGGTCTGCCCTGCAGATTTGAGACTTTCCAGCCCACAGGAACCAATTCCAATCTCTCTGTCTCTTTTTGTCTGCCCCACCCATTGTCCCAGCTATAGTAGAGCTCTAGGAAACTACTCTTTTTTATTTTGGTCCCTATTGATTTGCTTGTTTTAGACATTTCAAACAAATGGAATTGTACAATATGCGATCCTTTATGACGAGCTCCTTCCTCTTGGCATCACGATGCCAACTTTCATCCACGTTGTTGCATGACTCAGTACTTTTTTCCTTTCTATTACCAAATAACATTCCACTATGTTGACATACCACATTTTTCTTATAAATTCATTAATTGAGAGATGTGTAGGATGTTTTCATTTTGGGGCTATTATAAATAATGCTACTATATATGAATTTAATATAAATTCAATCATACCATATATATTCTGTAGAGTAACATTTTTGACCATAAAATTTTTCTTCTTTCTTGTGAGATCCATTCAAGTTGTTGATTGAAGCTACATATTTGTTTTTGAATAATTCCTTCTATAAAACTATACTCCACCTATTCAAGATATTTCACACCTATTCAAGATATTTCATTAATGGCTACTAGAAGTTCATTTTTAAAATGCTGCTCTAGGATGTGTAGCTGGGGATAGACTTTGTCATACTTTTGTGCATCTTTGCGTTTCTTTTTAACTAGATTCTGGCTTTTGTTGTTAATCTGAAGGATGCTTTATTGTGCTATGCTTCAATTTGCATTTCCTCACCCAATTCATGTTCTTAAGCATGCATTCATGTTCTCTATTTAGGCCCTTTTTCTCCCCTTAGAAGGAAAAGAAAACTTCCTTAGAAGGGTTTCATTTTGTTTCCTAATTTACTCATAGAAGTTCAGTATTTATTTCAATTACATGTTCAAATGCCTTCTCCAAGTCTTTTCCAAAACTTCACTGTTTGTGCCAGAAAATCTTAATTGAAATATAGTCAAATTTGTTAAAATTTCTTCATGCAGCTTATTTTTTATGTATTTTAAGAAATACATCTCTATTTTTGAGATCATAAAATATTAAAAGTATTTGCTTTTACATGGGAGATCCTGCGTGTCTGAATACGCCAGGCCTAGCCATGTCCATTGAGCCCCTGGAACCAAGGGCATGAGGTGATTTGCACATATCTGTGTTCCTGGGGTGGGGGGAGGGTTTTGGACCATAGCTCCCAGGGTTAGGGCACCACCCAGCTTCTTGAAACACCATTGGAAGAGATAAAGAAGGTCACTACATACTAGTTAGAAGAAAACTTCAAGTTGGTTGTTTGAAAGAATAAATAAAATTGATAAGCCCCTAGCCAACCTTATTTTAAAAAGGAAAGAAAAAAATCAAATTCATGCAATAAGGAATGAAAAGTGTGAAATCACTACAGACTCTGTGGAAATACAGAAGATCATCAACACCTATTTCAAAAACCTCTACTCTCATAGGTTTGATAACACAGAAGAAATGGACAGATTCCTAGAAACATATGAAATACTAAAGCTGGGTCAAGAAGATGTAAAATTGCTGAATAACCCACTTTCTATTAATGAAATTGAAAATGTAATTAAATTCTTACCAACAAAGAAGAAAGAGCCCAGGTCCAGATGGATTCACTGTGGAATTCTACAAGAAATTCAAAGAAAGCTTAATGCCGACACTCCTCAAACTCTTCAATGAAATTGAAAGGGAAGCAATTCTTCCTAACTCATTCCTGGAAGTAAGTGTTACTCTAGTATCAAAATGTGAGAAAGACCCAACTAAAAAAGAGAACTATAGGCTAATCTCTCTAATGAACCTAGATACAAAAATTCTCAATAAAATATTGGCAAACAGAATGCAGCAAATCGTCAAGACCACCACAACCAAGTGGGATTGATCCAAGGAATGCAGGGATGGTTCAACATACATAAATCAATAAATGTACTCCACCATATCAATAGAGCCAAAAATAAGAATTACATGATTATTTCTATAGATGCAGAAAAAGCTTTGATAAAAGTCCAACACTTAATCATGATAAGAACCTTACAGAGAATTGGAATAGATGGTCTTTACCTCAACATAATAAGGGCCATGTATCACAAACCAACAGCCAGCATCATACTAGGTGGCCAAAACTGGAAAGCCCTTATCCTAAAATCAGGAACAAGACAAGGATGTCCCTTATAACCACTCCTATTCCACATAGTGCTGGAAATACTAGCCAGAGCAACTAGATAAGAGAGAGGGAGAAAAAAGGAGTAAGGACAGGAAAACAAACAGTTAAATTATCATTATTTGCAGGTGACATGATGCTCTACATAGAAGACTCCCAAAACTCCAATGAAAGACTTCTAGATATAATAAATAAATTTAGTAATGTAGCTGGATACAAAGTCAACACTCAAAAATCAATAGCATTCCTATATACTAATAACAAAATCACTGAGAGAGAAATAAGAGAAGCCACACCCTTCACACTGGCATCCCAAAAAATGAAATATTTAGGAATCAGTCTAATGAAAGAAGTAAAAGGTCTATTAAGGGAAATTATAATACCCTGAAAAAGAAATCAAAGAGGACCTCAGAAAATGGAAAGACGTATCTTGTTAATGGATATGAAGAATAAATATTGTGAAAATGGCCATTTCCCAAAAATTTTATACAGATTTAATGCAATCCCAATCAAAATACCACTAACTTACCTCACAAATCTAGAGAAATCACTCCTAAAATTCATCTGGAACCAGAAGAGACCTAGGATAGCAAAGGCATTTTTAAGCAGCAAAGGCAAGGCAGGAGGCATCACCATTCCTGAGTTGAAGTTATACTACAAAGCTACTATAATAAAATCAACATGGTACTGGAATAAAAACAGACCTGAAGATTAGTGGAATAGATTAGAAGATACAGCTACAACTACAAACACACTCAGCCACCTTATCTTTGACAAAAGGGCCAAACACATCCATTGGAAGAAAGATAGTCTGTTTAATAAATGATGCTGGAAAAATTGGCTCTCCATATGCTGAAAACTAAAACTAGACCCATGCCTATCACCATGTACTAAACTAAAGTCTAAATGGATCAAAGATTTAAATATTAAAACAAAAACACTAAATCTGTTGGAAGACAAAGTAGGTAGAAATCTTGAAGACATAGGAGTAGGTGGAGAATTCATGAACAGGAATCAAACCACAAGGGAAACACTTCCCAGAATCAATAACTGGGACCACCTCTTATTAAAAAGTTTCTGTATGTCAAAAGAAATCTCCAGCATAGTGAAAAGAAAACCCACAAACTGAGAAAAATCTTAATGAACTCTCCCTCAGACAAAGGACTTCTGTCTAAAACATAGAATTTAAAAAAATCAGACTCCTGAAATTCAAAGACCCAGTCCAAAAATGGGCATCTGAGATGAATACACAGTTCTCAGATGAAGAAATACAAATGGCAAATAAATACATGAAAAAATGTTCAGCATCATTAGTCATTAGAGAAATGCAAATTAAAATAACGCTGAGATTCCATCTCACTCCAGAAAAATGGCCAGGATCAAGAAAACTACCAACAACAAATGCTGGAGAGGCTGTGGGGAAAAAGGAACTCTTCTGCACTGTTGGTGGGAGTGTAGACTGGTGCAACCACTGTGGAGGTCAGTCTGGAGATTCCTCAAAAAGCTGGGGTTGAAAGTCCCATTCAACCCAGCTATTCCACTTCTAGGCATATTCCCAGAAGAACTGAAAACATACCACAGTGATGTATGTGCACCCATGTTTATAGCAGCACAATTTGTAATAGACAGATCTTGGAAACAACCTAAGTGTCCATCACCTGAGGAATGGATAAAAAAGTTGCAGCATTTTAATACAATGGAGAACTACTCAGCTATAAAGAATGATCACATTGAGATATTTATAAATAAATGGACATAACTTGACACCATACTTGTAAGTGAAATAAATCAAACTCACATGTATAAATACAGTATAATCTTCCTAGTATAAGAAATGGTAAAAGTATATAAAATTTTATGGTAATCATGGTTCCCATTATATTGCTTTGAAGCCTTACAATGTTTTCATTCATTAGTTGGAATGGTTTTATTCTGTTTTGTTTGATTTTATTATGTGTGATGCTATGAACAGCTACTTGGAAGAAAACAAGACATTATGGCAGCCACTGCTGATTTAATATCATCTTGCTTTGAAGTCTTACCATGCTTTTGTTCTTCTGTTTCCATTGGTTCTCCCATGTTGTGTCTTATTGGATTTTACTATGTGTGATAGTATAACCAAATTTTTTAAAGAAAATGAGATATTATAGTAGCCATTCTTCATTATTGGTTATTTGATTTAGATGCTCTGTAGTATTTTCATTTTTTTTGAATGGTCTTACACTATTATGCTATGTTTGATACTATTGTGTGTGAAGGTATGCTCAAGTATTTCAAAGAAAAGAGACATTATGGTAGCTACTGTTGATATCCAGTTGTCTTGTCATGAAATGCTGTGTTGCTTGCATTGTTTTGTTCTGACTTACTTTGTCCTGTTCTCTTTTGTTTTATTCTCTTTAAAATAAAATTTTAAAAAGTATTTGCCTCTATACCATTTGTTGAATCATTCTGATATAGGGGAATGAAACTCCCAACCTGCTATGTCTGGTACGAGTTTGTGTTCTCTAAAAATCAAAGAATAAATTTTAGGAACAATGGAAGTTAAGAACAGAATATAATTATTGAGAGAAAGAAAACTTCTGGCTGAGAGAGAGACAGAAGGGGTCCTGAGAGGGTTGCCAAGGACTCTGTCTTTTCCAGGGACTTTTATAGAGTAAAATCATGAGATTAGATGGGTCAAAGGTGGGGAAAAGTAGGAATTTGCAAGGTGGACATAAGGTGGGACAGAACTGTGGTCAACCAATAAGATGAACTGCTCAGGTAAAATTGATTAAATTAGGAGCAAATGGGGGAGTGAGTCAAGTAGCAAGTAGGCATGCTTAACAGCAGTGAATCTTCCTGCTGAGGGGTAGGATGCTGACTCCTGACTTCCTCAGGATGATAGAGAACTATTTGGACTGTGGACCCTTAGAATGTGGTTGTATTTACTTTGCCTTTTGTATTGAGATTTGGCCCACGGTAGGAGGTGATTGTCTCTTTAAAGGCTGCAAGGTATCGGAACTCTGCTCTGGCTCCTTTGAGGGCCCATCCCTGTCTGCCTATAATATCTGTAACCAACTCAGCTGCCTGTAACAATTCCACATCAGCGACTTCACCTCGGTTCATACTCATATGAGTGTGTTCCTTGGCTCTCTACTTTGCTCTGTTTTTTTGTTTTGTTTTGTTTTTTAGCCTAACCCTATACTTATATCACATACTCTTAATTTAAGACCTTTAAAATATATTACATCCACTTATTCATCAGAAAAGTCTTGGTTATTTTTGGCTCTATATGCTTTCATTTCAGAACCAGCTGTCAAGTATCTGGAATTTATTGGGATTTTATCTTTTGGAATTTTGATTGGGATTGTTAGAATCTATACAATATTTAATCTTTCTCTTCAGATGCATAGCATGTGTATACCTTTCCTCTCTAATAATCTTCAATAACATTCAGACGTTCTCTATAAAGATCTGCCTTTTTCCTAGGTACCTTATTTTTATTGTTTTGTGTTAAATGTAAGTAGCCCAAAGAATTGACCATACTACATCCTGATTTCAGAAACAGGGAATTTAGATAATACTGATAAATTTGTGGAAAAAATAGAAGAGCATATGGAATATTCTAAATTTTCCACATGATAGAAATCCCTCAAATCTGGTCATATGTTTGAGTAGTAATCCATCACAGCTTTCCAAATAGCCTATTAGAATTATCCTGATAAATTCTTGAAATCTAAATGACAAATCATATGGCTTCTGCCCCCAAAATGAACAAGATATAGGAAAAACTATATGGTGAAACGTTTATCTTGAATGTTAGCTGAAATTTTCCAACTTGAGATCATTGTCTTATACAATATGGTAAAAAATCTTTTTCTTTCTTTTTTTTAATGGACTAAAGATTTTCATCATAATTTACTGTTTCCTTTTTTTCTTGAGACTATAGCTGAACTAATACATTTCTGTCTAAACATTACAGATTTTCTTATAGGAGTAAAATGGCCTGGGTCAGGATATCAAGTTGGGAAATCAATGCAGCAAGTGCTAGATTACACAGAATTTGATTAAATGCAGTATACTCAGGAGGGAATCTTGTTTTTACTGATTTTTTCCTAACCACTTTAGTTCTCTACTCTAGTGAACTATTGAAACACTTACAAAAGAAGTTCTTCAGTCTTTTAAAAGATGAAATTCAACCCTATTCTTTGGTGAATTTCACTTCAGATTGTCACAATAGCATTTTGATTCTATAATTTAAATACTAGGTTTCTAAATGTCCTCGTGTCTGTGTTTGTTCTTAGTCATTTGCGATCAGCAAAACCTATTTAAAACTTTCATTGCTTTCTCTGGAATCCAAGAGGTACTCTATTTTCATTCTGACTCTCCTAAAATGACATTAAAAGTCAGAATAATTTAATATTTAAACTAAGGAAATGTACCTAATCTATTTGCCAAAGGATGGCATTCCTCTGCTGCTTTTTTGGGTTTATGATTCTTTCTTCATCCTCTGGGTTTCCCTATCATCTTTGGCTTCTCCTTTTGTTCACTGAAGATGTTTGGGCCTTGTTCATATAGGATCTACTATTATATGAACAAATTTATAAAATTTATAAATATAAATTTGTTCATATAACATTATATTAAAATTATAATATATATGATTTATAAAATTTTCTCTCCAGTCATTAGCAACAAAATGCTCCTAATGTTTCTATAAATACCATCATAGGTACTGATTTCAATCTTTAGGAGTCAGAGAGAAATATTTATTCACTTCCGCTTATTTGAAGCAGTGTTGGCATTCAAGGCTTCGGTAAGCTTACTAATTTCAATACTATGTAATCCTTTGAAGGTTAGCAGCTGCTTTATGGAGGGAAAAGTTAATGGTTTTATCTAAATGTCACATACTCAGTGACAATTTAGGAATCTTCGTTTGTGGCTTCCTGTGTGTCATGCACTATGTTTCTTCTAATGCACTGGTGTTTGCTCCTTTCCTTTGACTTTTAACGGTTTGAAGCAGTGTGGATTCCTTTAAATTTATTTTAGTTGTTGTTTATTTGGCATTTTGTATTGGCACATTTCTGTCTTTTACCAATTTTGGGGAAATTCTGACCTTTATTTCAAACATTTTATTCTATTTCTGTTATTCTATTTACATGTATGTCAGATTAACATCATGTAGCAAGTTTCTGGGGCTTTATTAATTTTTTAAAACTAATTTTTCTCTTTGTTCACTTTTTTATTGCTCTGGATAATTTCCATTGCTCTACTTTCAAATTCACTTACTTCTTCCTCAGCTATTTAATAGCTTTTGGCTATTACAGTTACCCAATGAATTTTTAAAAAAAAGTCTGAAATTATAATTTTGAATTATAGAATGTCCATTTGGTTTTAAATGTCTTTTTCTTTTTCTCTGTTGAGATTTTCTACTTGTCTTTTGAGATTTTCTCTTCATCCACTGAAAACATGTTTTGTTTCATCTCACTAAGGACAGTTAGAAACTTCACATTAAAATACTTATCTGTCATTTTCAACAGTAGGTGCTTGGTCTATCATTTTTGGAAGAAAATGTCTATCTTACCTGGGACTTTAAAATCGTGAGACTTTTCTTGCCCTGGTTATGCAATAGATCCCCAATCATTCCCTGCTCCTACCCTTGGCCCCTCCAGTCTGTTGTCAAGGAATCAGTCGCAGGAATCCTGTGAAAAATCAACAGAACCTCCAGTGGCTCCTTGTTTCACCAGACTGAAGCAAAATATGCTTACAAGATCCTACAGGTCACGTCCAGCCACGCGCTCAGCAGTTTTTGTTTCCTCTGGTTTTGAAAGGTGTACTAGGGTCTACTTTAAACTTTCCTGACAGGCTACCGAACGAGGCTTCCTCTTCTCCCAGGAATTGGAGCCCAGGACCCAGTCAATGCTCAAGGCAAAGGGGAGTCAAGTGCCCTCCACTTTCCCAAGAGAACTACAGGCAGCACTGATTTAAGGAGGATTAAAGGCTTCTGCGCTAGGGATGATACTCTTGAATCTTCTTCACGCTATAGTCTGCTCAGATTTGAATAAACCAGAGAAAACACAGTGCGTTTGATGGAGCGCACCCCCCTCCCCCGCGTTAGAAAGGCTGCTCCAGCTTTTCTCCCAGGGTGGGTCCTGGCTGCTGGCTGCGCTGAGGCGGAACCCGGGCGAGCGCACCGGTGTTTCTGGTCGAGCCGGTCGCGCGGCACACCGGCGCGCCCCCTCGCCGGCATGGAGGAGCGTGCCGATTCCCAGCCTTCTTCTGGCTGCAGCGGCCTGGACGCGGGCAGCGTTCACGGTAGCGGCAGCGCTCACTCATGGGCCCCCGAAGACGCCTGGATGGGCACCCACCCTAAGGTCAGGAGGCGGGAGAGCAGCAGGGCGCGGGTCTCGGACCCTACCCCAGACGGGCCGGCGGATCATCCCGGACGCGCGGCCTCACCCGGGGCTCCCGGTGTGCACAACCGCTGGCCACAAGCAACGGCCTTTTCATTGATTTAAATGTGTTAAACCACCGCCCTGACACCTTTCCTTGCCTCTCACCAAAGTCATTCTTAAAGTGCAAGACAGACCTTTCCTTTGTCAATCTGGAGACCCCCTCGTAGGTCCTCCACTATGTCTAGGTAGAGATATCAAGATAGAGCTCCTTTCTGGGATGTATTTAATCATTACAGTAACTGTGCAAGACAATGGGCTATGGATGAGACCTTGGAGGCCCCAAAGATAAAGGTTTAGACACAGTCAACATTTACAAGGTAGCCTTAGGCCCAGAGCATACTCCTGATTCTATACAGGTGCAGATTTCCAATTTGCCAGATTTGTGGGAAAATTTGAATAAATTGCTAAAGGGAAAGCTATTCATATTGTGAATATGTTTCTGAATGACTAGCAAGAGACGTGAAGGTAGCCCTTTGTTTCTTTTTCCTTGGGACATTGCTACAGTATCAGTAGATTCCTCAACCAGTGAATTGACAGTCAATAGAGAGGTGAGTGTTGTAGGAATCTCTGACCAAACTGGTACATTGCATTAGTGAAATTGTGTTCTTTTGTTTGAGTACAGTAATTCATAGATAATAATCTAAAAGCAGTCAAGAAAAGAAAAAGTTGGTGATACCAACCTGAAAAGCGTGAACCTTTTTTTAGAAAAAAAAAAAAAAAAAAACCAAACAACTTTTTTTGCTTGATTTTATCTTCCTGCTCTGTTCCTTTTATCCTTCCCTAAAAGAAGCAGTGGCATGGGAATGTTATTTAGTACCCTAAAAAAACAATGAATAAGGAGAGGAACATGAAAGCAAATTTGGGCTCCTTGAATTTGAATTTTAGTCCTGTCATCAGCTTTATGATTTGATCTGAGTTGCTTTATCTCTCCTTGTTCCTTGATTTCTTTGCTTGATTGCATTATGCCTATTTCTTCATCCAAAAAGCAGGGATAGTAGTAGCACTTACAACATTGAATCTAGAAGGGGTCTAAAGAAATGTTACAATTATATACTTATATAGTATTTCTATGTATCTATATTCCTCACAAAAATTACTAACAATTACTAATTCTTTGGACAAGTGCTACAACTATCAAGGAACAAGGAAAGATAAAACAACTCAAATCAATGTCATATGTTATTATTTCTTAACAATTATAAGTAGTCAGCCATTGATGTCCATGAAGTCTATCCTCAGGTTCAACTAATTTTGCATTGAAAATACTTGGGGCTGGGGATTTAGCTCAGCAGCATAAGCACCTGCCTTACAAGCAGGTGGTGGAGAGTTCAATCCCCAGCACCGATTAAAAAAAAAAAAGAAAGAAAGAAAGAAAGTAGTTGAAAGAAATTGCATCTGTACTGAACACATGAAGACTTTTTCCTTGTCATTTTCTCGAAACAATGTATATAACAACTACTTATATATAATTTATATTATATTAAGTATTGTAAGTAATCTACAGATGATTTAAAGTATGTGGAAGTGTTGTATAGGTTACTTATATGCAAATACTATAGCACTTTATATCAGGGTTTTAAACATTCTTGGATTTTGTTATCTGTGGAAGGTTGGGTGTCCTGGAACCAATCTCCCATGGACACTGGTGGGAAGGCTGTACATAGAGGTTTACTCTAAAAATTACAGATTCTTCAGAGACAGAGATCAGATCTTGTATTGCCTTTTAACTTCCACTAAATCTAGATAATAGTTTTATGTATATATAGAAAATTTGTTAATTAAAAGATAATATTAAGATTTTTCCTTCTCTATTTGATAATTACATTTTGATTTTCAGTATTTAGAAATGATGGAATTACACATAGGAGATGCAACCCAAGTGTATATAGCATTCTTGGTTTACTTGGACCTCATGGAGAGTAAGTTGTTTGTTTATATTATTCTGTTATTGAGGCTTGGATGGGAATTTGGAGAGCTGGGTTAGAATGTAACATTTAAAATATAAGAAGCAACCATTTATTCATTTGCTATTAATTTTACCAGTTAATTTTATATTATTCATTCTTTTACATTGGGAATAGGTAGCGAGAAAGACTAGAACAGTGAAAAAAAGGGAGGTAAGTATTTTTTTTCTTTTGAGACAGGGTCTTGCTATGTAGTTCAGGCTGGCTATGAACTCACTGTATATCCCACGTTGGCCTTGAACTTACAGTTGTCATCCTGCCTCAGCCTCCCATGTTCTGGGGTTACAGGCATGTGCCACCACACCTGGCTAAAATAGAGGTAGTATTGTAAATAAATTTGTTTAGCTATTAGGTTGACGTTTGGAATTTTAATTGTTCTTTTTTGATAAACATTATCATCCATTCTTTCAGGTAAAAGTTGGCATGAAGTAAACTGTGTGGGATTACCAGAACTCCAGCTCATCTGCCTAGTTGGTACCGAGGTAGAAGGTGAAGGGTTACAGACTGTGGTGCCCACGTCCATCTCTGCTTCCTTCAGCCATAACAGGTAAGTAGGTGATTTTGGTATTAGTTTAACAGATCCTTAAGGGGGGTTGGAAATATTTATAGTCCTGGTAATGTGGCAAGACCTTTACATTTGAAACATCAGGTATGAGATGTACCATGTGATACAAATTACACTTGCTGTAGGGGTTGTTGAAGAGCGTGATTAATATGTAAGTTGAAATAAAAGAAAGCTTCATGCAGCTTGTGGGACCTTTTAAAAATTTTAGCTGTACATATTTTTTTTTTATTTTAAAGAGATTAAGATAAAAGAAGACATAACAAAGCAGATCAGAACAGAACAACGTAAGCAACACAGTATTTCACCACAAGACAACCCGTAATTAACAGTAAATGCCATAATGTCTCTTTCTTTGAAATAGTTGAACATAACTTCATATACAGTAGTGTTAAACATAACAAAATAGTATAAAACCATTCAAGAGAATAAAAGTATTACAGGGCATTCTGAACCAAATAACAGAGAACAAACAATGGCTACAGTGTTATCTCATTTTCCATATAAAATTTGTTTATACTATCACACATAATAAAATCCAATAAGATACAACATGATAGAACCAAAGGAAACAGAAGAACAAAAGCATGCTAGGACTTTAGAGTAAGATGATATTAAATCAGCACTGGCTATTATAATGTCTTGTTTTCTTCAAAATAGCTATTCATATCATCACAGATAATAAAATCAAACAAACGAGGATAAAACCATTCCAACTAATGAATACAAACATTTATAAGGCTTCAAAGCAATGTAATGGAGAATCATGATTACCATAAACTCTTATGTACTCTTACCATTTCTTACACTAGGGAGACTATACGGTATTTATACATGTGAGTTTGATTTATTTCACTTGTGAGTATGGTCTCAAGTTGCATCCATTTATTTATAAATATCTCAATGTGATCATTCTTTATAGCTGAGTAGTACTCCATTGTATAAAAATAGCTGTACATATTTATATTAAACATAATCTTTATTTCATGACACACTCTCATTATTAGTTCAGGCTATTTGTTTATTTTTAATAACTATCTCAAAGCCACCACCACCACAAAAATGAGGTTCTTAACAATAACTGACATCGAATCTCATATATCCCTCCTTTACCTTCTTTCACTGACCTGAGGTAACTGTCACACTGAATCTCATGTTTAGTAGGAAATATTTAATTCCAGGTGTTTTAACTTATAAAAGGTACATAGTCTTTTAGGTTTTACCTTGTAACCTCAATAATATGGTATATTATTGAAATTAATCCTTGTGCTTTGTGGGGCTGCTGTAAAGTACTCTGTTGTGTGATTTTCTGTGGCTTTCACATTTACTCTTTTGAAGATGGAGTATTGCTCATGTTCAACATCAGGAGGTATAGAAATTTCAAACAGCAGTGCTTCCAAAGTGGTTGCCTCTGTTTACTTCGTACCGGCAATGTATGCAAGATCTTTGAGCTATATGGTCTCCAACATTTAGAATTGGTAGATGTCTTCATTTTTTCCAGTTGAATGGATTATGTCACAGTGGTTTTAAATTGTAGTTCTTTGATTGCTAATCATCTTGAGTGTCTCTTTATGTATTTATTTCTTCTCTTAAATGCTTGTTCATGCCTTGCATGTTGGGTTGTTTATAGTTTCCTCATTGACACATATGAGTTCTTTATTTTTTTCTATTAAATCATATTAATTTTTATTATTACATGTATGCAGTACATAATTTACATTCTTGTGTGGCATTAATAGATGCACATAACACATCTTAATTCCTTTTTTCATCTCCCTTCTCTTCCCCCTCCCATCTCTTGATATTGTTTCTGTTTGAGAAAGATTTATCTCCTTACTTTCTATTATCTTTTATTTTGTTTTTTACTTATAGTTTGGATTTCTCATATAAGAGAAACCATTTAATATTTAAGCTTGCATATCTGATTTATTTTAATTAATATTATGGTCTCAGGTACATTTATTCCTACAAATGACTCAAGTTTAACTTTATGACAGAGTATTACTCGGTTATATGTAAATACCACATTTTCTTTATCCATTTATCTGTTGATGGACATATAAGCCACTTCCAAGATTTAGCTATTGTGAATTGTGCTGCTATCAACAGAGTTATGCACGTATCACTGTAATATATCATCTTTAGTTCTTTCAAGCTATTTATAAATACTTTATTTATATACTTTCAAGCTATTTATAAATACTTGTATTTATTACAGCTATCACTGTAATATGTCATCTTTAGTTCTTTCAAGAAGATTCCTACAAGGGGAATAGCAGGGTCACATGAAATTTTTAGTTTTCTTTTTTTGAGGAATCTTCTTACTGATTTCCATAATGGCTGTACTACTTTACTTTCCCATCTTTTACCTCTGCACCCTTGCCAATTTGTTATTTGATTTTTTGATGACCATTCTTTTTGGGATAAGATAGAATCTCAGTGTTGTTTCAATTTGCGTTCCTCTAATAGCCAGAAATGTTGAAAATTTCTTAAAGTATTTATTGCCCATTTGTACTTTTGCTGTGAAGTATCTATTCATTTCACTTGCCCATTTTAAAAAAAATTTAAAGAGGTTAAAACAAAACAGAACAAATCAAATCAGAAGAAAACAATATAAGTGACACAAATTTCAAAGCAAGACAACAGAAGATCAACAGTGGCTACCATAATATGTCTTGTTTTCTTCTAAATAGTTGTCTATATCTTCACACACATGAATTCATACCAAAAAAGTATAAAACTGATGAAAGAATAATGAAGGCATTATAGCACTTGCCCATTTTTTTGATCGGGCCTTTAATTTTGGTGGTCTAATATTTTTGAGCTCTTTATAAATTCTAGATAGAGGTGGGCATGGTAGTGCATGCCTGTAATCCTAGCACTCAGGAAGCTGAGGCAGGAGGATTGTTCAAGCCCAGCCTGGGCCGCCAAGTGAGCTCAAGGCTAGCCTAGGGAAAGAAAAAATTCTAGATAGTAGTCCTTTGTCTGAGGAATAGCTGGTGATTTTTTCCCCATTCAGTAGGTTATCTTTCACTTTGTTGGTTTGTTTTTCTGTGTGAAAGCTTTTTAATTTGATACGATCCTATTAGCTGATTATCAGTACTATTTCCCGTCCAACCAGGGTTCTGTTCACAAAGTCCTTGTCTATGCCTATGACTTCAAGAGTTTACCTACTTTATCTTCTACTTGATTGTTTCTGTTTTAATATTTAGTTCTCTGATCCATTTTTATATTAGTTTAGAACATGATAAAAGTTAGAGGTCAAGAGTCAGTCTTCTGCATGTGGATAATGTTTTCCCAATACTATTTATTAGTGATGCTGTCTTTTTTCTAATGTGTATTTCTTTATTTTTGATAGTAATCTTTTTAAGGTTTTTTATATTTTAAAGAGAATAAAACAAAAGACAACAGAAGAAAGCAAATGAGAACAGAACAATGTGAGCAACACAGCACTTCACAACAAGACAACCAGATATCAACAGTAGCTACCATAATGTCTCTTTTCTTCGAAATAGTTGAGCATACCTTAACACACAATGATATCAAACATAACAATATATATAAAACCATTCAAAAGAATGAAAGCATTACAGGACTTCAAAACCAAATAACAGGAAATGAACAATGGCTACTATAATATCTCATTTTTCTCAACAAATTCGTCTACACTATCACAATAGAATCAAGTAAAACTCAACAGGATAGAACCAATCAAAATAGAAGAACAAAAGCATGGTAGGACTTCAAAGCAAGACGATAGTAAATCAGCAATGGCTACCATAATGTCTTGTTTTCTTCAAAATAGCTATTCATACCATTACACATAATAAAATCAAACAAAACAATAAAACCAATCAAACATATGAAAGAAAGCATTATAAGACTTCCAAGCAGTATAATAGGAAACTGTGATTACCAAAATATATCCGATTATATTTAAAATAGCTGCCCCTACCATCTGACACTAGAAAATCTTTAACAAAATAAAACAAAGCCAAATCTAACAAAAAATTGTGTAAACAGTGCAAGAGTTCAAGATAAGTCAATAAGAAATTGATAGTAGTTTCTACCTTTCCCTCCCACGTATTCCCTCCCTTTTGCTCTTATGTTAAATGTTTTGCTTTTGGATCCCATTAACTCCTTCTGTTTCTTATGCTAGGGTTCACATGTATGAGTTAGAACTGTTTTGGTCATGAACATGATCTCCAGTTGCATCCATTTACCTACAGGAACCTTGAGATTATTCTACTTTATAGCTAGGTAGCTTTTCACTGCATGAAAATACCATATCTTTCTTACCCATTCTGTGATTGATGGGCAAGTTACTCTTGCTTTTTTTTTTTTTGTCTCCTGTCACATGAAACAATTGTTTTCTCTCCTTTGATTTTCAGTCTATGAATTTCCTTTCCAGTTAAATATGTTTCTTGTATACAGTGTATTGATGGATCTTGTTTCTTGATCCACTGTCCCCTTGTTTCTTTTTATTGCTGATATGAGGCCATCTACATTGATGGTTACAACCAACATACACTGGTTTGTCTCTGCCCTCCTATCCTCCTGTTGTTGGCCCTCCACTTTTCATTCAGTTGCCTGTTTGTTTGGTGATCCTCCTCGGCTGTTGTTCCTGGAATCATAGTTTTATCTCTCTCTAGAATATTCTTTAGCACTCTCTGTAGGGTTGGTTTGGTAGTCATGAATTCCTTCAGGTGTTCTTTATCATTGAAGTATCATATTTTTCCATCAATTTTGAACAACAGTTTTGCAGGGTGGATCAATTTGGATTAGGAGTTGTTTTCTTTCAGGGTTTGAAACACTTCACTCCAAACTCTTCTTGACTTGATGGTTTGTGTTGATAAGTCTGCTGTGATTCTGATTGGTTTTCCTTTATAGGTGATCTGTCTCTTTTCTCTAACTGCTTTTAATATTCTATTCTTCTGATGAATTTCTGGGATCTTGATTATTATATGTCTGAGTATAGATTTACT